GCTGGAGGTTTCTTCCTGTTAAAAGGGAGTTTTTCCTTCCCACTGTCGCCAAAGTGCTGCTCATAGGGGGTCATATGATTGTTGGGTTTTTCTCTGCATGTATTATTGTAGGGTCGACCTTACAGTATAAAGTGGGTTTAGGCAACTGTTGTTGTGATTTGGAGCTGTATAAATAAAACTGAATTGAACTGAAGTTGTTGCTGCTGAGGGTGGCCCAAACCAGTTTTTAAGTTTAGGGGGCCATCACTTGGTTTGGATATTTTTCCCCTAAAAATAAACACCTTCATTTAGTAACTGCATTTTGTGTTTACTTGTGTTATCTTTGTCTAATATTTAAATTTGTCTGATCTAAAACATAACAAAAACACAAAAAATAGAAAATTGGGAAGGAGGCAAACACCTTTTCACACCACTATAAATGGTAATGATCATTTTTATGTCAGAGTGATGGAAAAATGGTGTCATCTGTGTGAATCTGAGGTGACGTGTACGGAGGTGTTTGTCACCGAGTCTCTGAGGATGCTGAGAAAGGTCCTCCTGAACAGGATGGAGAACTGCGTCATGCAGCTAGCAGAGAAGCTGTGACAGCCTTCAGACGATGAGCTCTCCTGACGGGAGATCATCACAGGTACATGTTCATTTTCAAAGGACTCATTCGTCATGAAACATTCACAGGAGGTAAAGCGAAAACCTGCCTCTCATCAACCAATCACAGCAGAGGGCGTGCTGTTTTTTTACCTCCTCGGTGCGCTGCCACAGGAAGGGGTGGAGGGTGCTGTCTCCGTTGAGCTCGGGCTGGTGGTCTTTCTCACACTTCCTCTCCTGAGCTGCTGTCACCAGCCTGATCATCTGGTCCCCGTACTCTCCGGACGCCACCTCCATCACTGCGCACAGAACCCATCAGTGAGTCTGACGCCGCGACGGCCGAGCGGGAACAGCTCGCCGGGCGAGTCTTACCGAAGTCAGCAGGGTTGTGGTACGTGGGGCAGTTCAGCCCGAGGTCTCTCAGGTACGGGACCAGACTGGACACCTGTCCCCTGTAGATACACTGACCCTGACTCAGCACGTACAGCTGAAACGCGCACAGAGACAGAGACACAAGTGAAACCCGCACTGAATCATGTTTCCTTTTATTCTATGGACCCACACCAAGGTTTTCAGCTCCAAACACCTTTGTAGAGCACTTCCTGTTCTTCTCTCCATCCTTAAAACCTGAGCAGGAGGAAACGGATTTCACCCCATAGTACAAACTGTTACAAGTGCTCACTCGAAGCTTCTTTACACCACATTTACTCCTCTACACAAACTTGATTTTATCCCCTTTAAAAGCTCTTTGCCCCCCTCACACACTGATTAGCAGATGACCCTCTAACCCACTGAAGGAAATGTAATAATTTATTTATTGCTTCTGACATTAGAGCTGCTTCTATAAATGTTTCAAACTGTTTCAGATCTTCAGATAAAGAACCGCTGCTAACACTTCTGTGCATTGTCCAGCCACACGTTCATGTGATACCAGTTTACACCACTAGATGGTGCAGTGAGTCAGTGTAACGTGGAGGAGGGTCACCTTGTCGAAGAGCTCGAAGAGTTTTGCGCTCGGCTGGTGGATGGTGCAGATAACCGTCCGTCCTCCTCGAGCCAGAGCTTTGAGCAGAGACACCACCTGGAAACATGACGAGCTGTCCAGGCCACTGACACACACACACACACACACACACACACACACACACACACACACACACCTTCATAGAAGCTCAGCATGAAGCAGAAACATGACCAAACATCACTCACATGTAGAATTTGAAGTACAGCTTGTTCTGATCAAACGTCTGAAATTAGTCGAGTAAAATAAAACAGCTGTGCTTTGGCACGACTGATCTCTGAGGCAGCGAAACCATTTCACACAGGTGAGTGGCGGGACCAGGAGTCGAACCACAGATCTCCCTGCATGATCCTACGTGTCAGGCATTATGTCTAAAATGAGTCTGCACAGCCTGAAAGGCCCTAAAAGCGTTCAGCCTGTGCGATTCAAAAATTGCTTTAGTGCAAAGATTTAAACTTGGTTATGAAGACTGAGCTGACTGAGTGGAATGGTTCAGCTGCTTGGTTCACCTCATTGGCTGAGGACAGAGCACCGTGGTCAAGACTGATATCCGACCTTCTGTGACCTTCTGCCAGCTTGGGATGAACCACGGAGAGGACCTGGAGGTCAACCTGATTTCTTACCTCGTGGGTTCATCGAAGAACATGACCGGCGGATTGTTGACAAGCTCCAGAGCGATGGCCAGCCGCTTCCTCTGCCCCCCCGACAGGTGAGACGTCCTGGTTTGAGCACATTCCAGCAGACCCAGAGCCATCAGGATGTCCCGGACCTGAAGGAGCAGAGATCCGAGTTCAGCCTGAGGGTAGAGTCTGAGATCAGGGAGGCCAGGAGCGATCGGCTCACCATGTCTCTGCGTGCCTCCTCCTTCTCCTGCAGCTTCAGGCTGGCTGACACCTGCAGAAACAGAGAGCAGGGTCTGCGATTACTGCGGTCTGAAGTAGGCCGAACGCTGAGGCTCAGAAGCACCTACCATCATGGCCTCCTGGACACTGAGGTGAGGCAGCAGCATGTCGTCCTGCATGATGTAACAGGAAACCTTCCGGAAAGAGCGCAGGTCTCTGGGCTGCCCGTTGATCAGGATCTCGCCCTTCATCCCCGTCTCCCTGTACGCAAAGACAGACGTGCACTGAGCGCGCTCTGGACAGATCCACTGACCTGCAATCAGTAATCAGATTCTTCACTAGCATTTACTGACACACACAGAGGTACAGCAGGCCGATGTGAGGATGCGGTAAAGCTCTCAGACTGAGATGTAACATGATGAAAACATTTTTAAAACATCTGCCGCTGAGAGCGCTATGACCTCAACCTCACACTCAGTCATCATCTCCGCCCTGATGGATGCACCCACCTGTACCCGGCCAGGATATTCATGAGCGTGGACTTTCCGGCTCCTGAGGGCCCCATGATAGCCACCAGGTCCCCACTGGTGAATTTCCCAGAGATGGCTTTGAGCAGAGTTTTGTAACCTGAGGCGAACAGAAACAATCAATGTGCAGGTTTCCCAGCCGCTCACAGAGCCGCTCTTTGTGCTCGAACTCTCGGCTCAGGTTTCCCGTCAGTTTGGAGTTTTTCTCTCATTCATGCAGACCAGCAGCTGCTCTCACACTTTAGGCGCTCTGCTCGGCTTCTGTGCGAAAAACAAACACTCCCGCTCCTCCTGATGTTTCAGTGCTGACGGTCTGGACTGTACTTCGGTCAGTTACAGAACTCGGTGAGGCTCGTGCATCGTCCCGAAACCGACCACGTTTCTCCTAGACATGCAAATGTGCTTCAGACATCTGCAGGTCCATCAGAGACCCTCCCTCACTTACTCCGAGCAGCTTCACTGACCATAGTGTGACCAACCAGAACATTTACATCAGCGTGAGTCCAAAAACCCTGCAGCAATCATGAAAACATCTTCAGTAATCTGCTGTTAATGTTTTGTCCTCACAGTGAGCTCAGCATCAGACTTATCCACAAGTATCACAGTCTCAAAGCAAACAGTCACTCATGACTGAAACACCGTGAAGCACACACATGTAAGAACGTGTGTGTCGGGCTGAGAAACCATGAAGAATGTGCTGACACCTGAAATCCTGTCTCAGAGACCAGGTTTCTGAGGTTGTCGTTATTAAATATGCATAAAACTGATGAGTGTGTTACACGTTACACACAGAGGCTGAACGCGCTTTAATGAGATTATTAGATTTAATCTGACCAACAGTACCCTCCACACACTGTACACCCAGATGAACATCCTCACCTCAGTACACCTATGACTGTACACCAACCCACCAGCCAACATCATCGTCATGTATGCCGATGACACTGCTGTGGTTGGGCTCATCTCTGATGGAGATGAGATGGCGTACAGGGTGGAGGTAGAGAACTTGTCCTGCTGGTGCTCAGAAAATAACCTGAAGCTGAACATCCTTCAAACCAGAGAACTCATGGACTTCTCCCTGAAGTCCATGATGGAGAACAGGTGGTACTCGGGGGCCACGACCGAGAGCAGAAAGACAGCTATTACAACTATTCTAGCCTGTTAGTGCCTCGTACATGCCCCATTACATCAAACCTCACGTCTTCATCTGCTGCTCTGCTTCATGGATCCATCTTTCTGGCATTTAATAACATGTGATCGCATGTTAACAGATTCTGTTTTCCTGAAAAGCATCAAAGAACCAATCAAAGGTTTTGTGTGAAAATTACAATAGAAAACCTGTAAATGTTTTCAAACTCACACCTGCACGCTGTTTTCGTGCACCTGAGCAGGTGTGAAATGTTCTCAGTGAAACTCAGCTTTTCTAATATGAACAAAGAGTTTGGCTGAGCTCCATAATAATGGTCTGTAACCTGAGGCTATCAGAGTCTCTAACAGATCTAGTTTCAGCTAGAGGTTCCCGGCACAGCTTTACACAAGCACTATGTTCATTTTCTTGCTCAGGACCAATCAGAGGTAAGATGAGGTAAAGACCGTACAATGATAGAAAGAAAACAGAAAAATCCAACAATCAAATGACCCTCTATGAGCAAGTACTATGTGACAGTGGGAAGGAAAAACTCCCTTTTAACAGGAAGAAACCTCCAGCATCCTGTCTTCCTTATCTCACCCCAACCAATCACAGCAGATGGCCCTGCCCCTCCCTGAGCCTGGTTCTGTCAAAGGTTTCTTCCTGTTAAAAGGGAGTTTTTCCTTCCCACTGTCGCCAAAGTGCTTGCTCACAGAATTGAATTGAAAATTGAATATTAACACATAGTGAGTGAAGAAGAAACACCCTGTGCATCATGGGAAGGGATTCCCTAAAATAACAATCCGACCCATTCTCAGGCCTGAGCAGAGCTCAGATGTGGGCGTGTTCACGAGCGGTGACATCATCGCTTGTTGTCTTGTCCTTGCATCTTTATTTTCAGGCAGCGAGCGACGGCGCGTCCTCCAATCTGACCTGCAGCTATTTACAGCAGAAGACCCAGCTGAGATTAACAGATTACAGCCGCTAATCCAGCGAGCGCACAAACACACAGCAGCCAAACCGAGAGCACCTAACGGCTGCCTGCTGACGCACAGCCCATCATTAACAATAAAAAGTCAAAAGAATGACATGAACCCTGTGAGGTCGGCCATCACCTTTGACCTCTCCAACTGGACAAGTAAAGCCCTCAGATGGATAGATCTATACACACACACACATACATATATATGTGAATATATTTTTTCTGTCCAGGGCTATAAAATGTGAAGCCGTCTGAGATTAAATGTGTGGGTTTATGAGTCGGTCAGAAGCGTTTATGTCAGATCTTCTCTTGTGTTCTGCAGACTCAGCATCGCTGTGAGGTTCAGGGCGGCTCTGATGTTGGTTTTCAAAGGTCAGTGGTCACTGTGACTGTCTTTAGTCAGTCTTAGGTTGGCCTGATCCACATCTCTGTGGAAGCCTTTTAAAATAGAAGCATTCAGAGCAGCTCCTCCTGCTGTCCTGATACTTTTTGCTGTTATAGGAGCGTGACTCAGGATCTGTAATGAACAAACCAGCTACAACACAAGGCTGAATCGTGCCCTGGATTATTTTCCACCCTTCAGGCATTGAATTTACAGTGACAGTGTGTTTATTTTCTGAACCTCTGCCATCTTTGTTTTGTGTATGACTCTACCTTTCTTCCTCCACCAGGGTCCCTCTCTGACCACGAAGGAGACGTCTTTGAACTCAATGTTGACCGCGGGTCTGCGAGGTAATGAGGAGAACCTCTGGGCCTCCATCAGGTTGTTGTCCACCTTCTTCAGGTGTCCCTGCAGCAGTGGCGTCTGCTGGCTGCCCGCCAGCCGCTTGTTGACCACCTCATCCATACAAACACAAACTGTCCGGGGATCCAACATCAGGTCGGGGGGCCCGTTGGTATTCTGAAGGTGAATAAAAGGAATCTGGCTGAAGACAACCATAGCTGACCCTCTGAGAATGTAATCAAAAAGGTCCATCCATCAATCCATCCATCATCATCCACCCAACCATCATTATCCACCGTCATCCGTCCACATCATCATCCATCCATCCATCCATCATCCATCCAACCATCATCATCCACCGTCATCCGTCCACATCATCATCCATCCATC